GCCCCAGCGGTACGATCTGGTATCCAGCACACACAGCTGTCGGTGGTGGTCGGTGGGATAGCCCNCGACAAGCAAGAGCAGCGAGCCCCAGCGACTGAGTGTGTGGCTGAAACAAGCAGGCGGCTGTGCCGCCTCCGCCACCGGCGCCGGCGCAACCGCGGCGGCACCTCCCTCACCGCCGCCGCCGCCGCCGTCACCGTCTACACCAGCGCACGGGGACCCCGGGCAACTATGCCACGTGTAGGAATCAAGGTCCAGATAGAATGCGTTGTTGAAGTGCATGCCGTACCCGCATGTACCCCCGTGGATGTACATGCGTCCGGCGGAAGCAGGTGCGGACGCGGATGGCGGCGACGCAGCGGCGGCGTCAGCGCCGACGACGGCGGCGGAGGTTGGCACCCAGCAGGCCGCGTGAGACTTGCGGGGGCTGGGCAAAACGCCAGCGCCGACGGGGCTGGTAGCCGGTACGAGTTGCTGCCAGCGCCAGCCGCTATCCAGTCTGGCGGCGTCGGCGGCGCCGCCGATGCCACCGACCCGTGGGGTCCCGCGGCTGAGCACCCAGGTATCACCCAGCACCGTGTCGCCGCTACGGCCGCCAAACACCACCACTCGCCAGCCGTCGAGTGAGTGGAGCCGGCGGCGGTAGCTGCCAGCGGCAGTAGCGGCGGGGGCACCTGGCGGAGGTACGGCAACCATCGAGTGGCGGTATCTGCCGGGGAAGGACGCATGCATGCAGTGCGTGCCGGAGGTCGTGCCCGGATCCACGACCGGCTGCACCTGGATCCAGGATTTCATCTCGAGATCCAGAATCCAGACGTCTGCCAGAGCGTCGACGGGACTTGTACGGCCGCCGACCAGCACAACATATCCGTCGCCAACGCAGGCCGCTGTGTGGCCCATGCGCGGCGATGGCCCGGGACCTTTGACAGCGAGCGCCTCCCATGTACGGCACCGCGTATCGTACATAAGGACATCGCCACGACGCGCGTGCGCGCCGCTGCCACCGTAGCCGCCAAGCAGGTAGATAACGCCATCATGTACGGCACTGGCGTGGCCCCACCGCGGTACGGACTCGTCCACTTTGGCCTGCAAACCAAAAACGACACTATCAAAGCACCCGCACCGAGAGGTGCTGAGGCACTTTCCCACAAGCATTCGTATTTCCAACAACACCTCCCCACGGCCCCTTTTCTCTCCGTCCTCGCCGCTTGCGACCCGCACAAGCACCGTACGGCAAGCACGTGCACGAAGTCAAGACGCTGCTTTTAAACTCATCATTAAATCACTTCAACGCGCAACGGGCCTACTGGCTCAGACTCCTAGATTGAAGCCCCCAGAAACGGAGGAATGGGAACCCGGCGTTCCAATCCGCGATGCCCCCGGCCCCACCAGCCACAAGATAAACTCCCCTCCTCTCGCCTTTTGGACTTGAATCCTCCTATGCGGGGCGGCAGTGGGCCTTCACAGCACCGGAGAGCCTTAACCCCCCTCCCCTCCCCTCC